TCCACAAACCATAGCCAAACCCACGCCCACTAGTAACCCAAACCCTCGACAAACCCACACCAAACACGCCAAACCCACGCCCACAAACTCACGCCCAATCCACGCCAGACCCACGCCAAACCCACGCAAAACCCACGCCCCACGCCAAACCCATGCCAAACCCACGCCCAGTAGTAACCCAAACCCACGCCCACAAACCCACGCCAAACCCACGTCAAACCCATGCCCACTAATAACCCAAAGCCACGCCAAACCCAAGCCCACTAGTAACCCAAACCCACGCCAAACCCACGTCAAACCCATGCCCACTAGTAACCCAAAGCCACGCCAAACCCACGCCGAACCCAACCCCACTAGTAACCCAAGTCCACGCCCCCACGGCAAACCCACGCCAAACCCACGCCAAACCCATGCCAAACCCAGTCCTAACCCACACCAAACGCACATTGAACCCACACCAAACCCACGCCAAACGCACGCCAAACCCACGCCCACAAACCCACGCCAATCCCACGCCAAACCCACGCCCAACCCACGCGAAACCCATGCCAAACCCACGCCAAACCCACACCAAACGCACACCAAACCCACACCAAACCCACGCCAAACGCATGCCAAACCCACGCCAAACCCACGCCAAACCCACTCCTACAAACCTACTCGAAACCCACGCCCACTAGTAACCTAATCCCACGCCAAACCCACACCAAACCCACGCCAAGCCCACGCCCAACCCACGCACACTAGTAAACCAAACCCACGCCCCCACGGCAAACCCACGCCATACCCACGCCAAACCCACGGCAAACCCACGCTGCCGAGCGCACAGTCCCCTAGCAACCCAAAGCCACGCCAAACCCACGCCGAACCCAACCCCACTAGTAACCCAAAGCCACGCCAAACCCACGCCAAACCCACGCCAAACCGACTCCCACTAATGGGCGTTACTAGAAACCCAAACCCATAAGTTACTAGTGGGCGTGGGTTTGGGTTACTAGTGGGCGTGGGTTTGGGTTACTAGTGGGTGTGGGTTTGAGTTACTTATGGGCGTGGGATTGGAAACCCACGCCAAATCCACGCCAAACCCACGCCAAACCCATGCCAAACCCATGCCAAACCCACGCGAAACCCACGCCCACTAGTAACCCATGGGTTTGGGTTACTAGTAACGCCCACTAGTAACCCAAACCCACGCCAAATCCACGACAAACCCACGCCAAACCCACTCCAAACCCACGCCAAACCAATGCCCACTAGTAACCCATGGGTGTGTTTGGCGTGGGTTTGGCGTGGGTTTGGGTAACTAGTGGGCGTGGGTTTGGCGTGAGTTTGGGTCACTAGTGGGCGTGGGTTTGGCGTGCGTTTGACGTGGGTTTGGCGTGGGTTTGGCGTGGGTTTGGGGTGGGTTTGACGTGGGTTTGGTGTGAGTTTGGCGTGCATTTGGTGTGAGTTTGGCGCGGGTTTGGCGTGGGTTTGCGTTACTAGTGGGCAAGGGTTTTGCATGGGTTTGGTGTGGGTTTGGCGTGGGTTTGGCGTAGGTTTGGCGTGCGTTTGGCGTGGGTTTGTGGGCGTGGGTTTGGCGTGGGTTTGGC